CTCTTAGACAGAGGATCAATACATAGAAGCAAAGAAACCAGTACTACTAACTCAGGGAAGATCTCTTTTTTCAAATCTTCACCACCAATCTCATTTTCTGTTTGTCTGCATTCTAGAAATAATTTTATGTAGCCAAGACAATACAGAATTCCCTCAATTATCATCACCAGATTTTTTTTTTAAATACAAATGCTTTCGTCAGAATGTGGGCAAGCTTAACAAAAACAAAAAAAAGCCTTTGAAATATTCTTGTCAACATTTAACCTATGAGACACACTAAGTTAAAGTCCTTCTATATTCTTCTTAGCGCAGCAAACAGGAGCTATCTGTTTGAAGACAGCAATGGAATAAGGTGCAAAATTATTATCAGCATTATGGTGAGTAATGGACATGTTCCGACGCTAGAAAATAATAATGGAAAATGCCATCAATTACAAGAAAATGTATTAATGTACAGTCAACTCCAGGTAGGGGGAAAAGATAGAAAACACTATTTTAAATCTAATACCTAAGAAAGATCATAGAATTATAGAATCATAGAACTGGAAGGGACTTCAACAGGTCATCTAGTCCAGTCCCCCACACTCATGGCAGGACTAATTATCTAGACCATTCCTGACAGGTGTTTGTCTAACCTGCTCTTAAAAATCTCCAATGATGGAGATTCCACCACCTTTCTAAGCAATTTATTCCACTGCTTAACCACCCTGACAGTTAGGAAGATTTTCCTAATGTCCAACCTAAATCTCCCTTGCTGCAATTTAAGCCCATTGCTTCTTGTCCTATCCTCAGAGGTGAAGAAGAATTGTTTTTCTTCCTCCTCCATGTAACAACCTTTTACATACTGTGACAAAGCTCTGTCCTTGCCTCCGTGGGTCCCGCATTTCCTGGCAGATTTCACAAGCCTCAGAGGCTCACTGTGACCCTCCATGTAACCCTTCTCTCTCTAGAGACAAGGGTCACAGTCTACTGAGCCATTTTCATTATAAGCCAGCAAGGGAGGTGAGGAGAAGCTATCCTCCCTTGCACAGTCTCTGTTGTCTCCCAGTCTCAGTGATTAATCAGAGGGCAAAGGTGGGGGGGAGGGAGCCCAGGCCCACCCTCTACTCCAGGCTCCAGCCCAGGGACCCGAATAGTATCAGCTATGGTAGCTGACCTTTTAGAAACATGACATGTACAATTCCCTGCGCTACTTCCCCACAGCAGCCCTCACTTCCTCAAGCTCCACTTCACCCTTACCTCAGGACCTCCTTCCTTGTGCCTGATATGGTGGGTACTACTCAGTCTCTCCAACAGCACAACTTCCTCCCTCATCTCCTGACATGCACACCTACCTGACTAGCTGGGAGGCTTTTAACTAGTTTCAGCCAGCCCCTGATTGGCTTCAGGTGACCCAATCAACCTAGCATTCTCCCTGCCTTTTGGAAAGTTCTTAATTGGCCCCAGGTGTCTTAATTGACCTGGAGCAGCTGCCATTTCACTTATCCTGGAACCAGGGATTTGTTTAGCCTGGAGCTAATATATCTATCTCCCACTACTTTTCTATAGCCATCTGGCCTTGCCCCGTCACAATACTTGAAAACTATTATCATGTCCCCTCTCTGTCTTCTCTTTTCCAAACTAAACAAACCCAATTTTTTTCAATCTTCCCTCATAGGTCATGTTTTCTAGACCTTTAATCATTTTTGTTGCTCTTCTCTGGACTCCCTCCAATTTGTCCACATCCTTCCTGAAATGTGGCACCCAGACCTGGACACAATTCTCCAGTTGAGGCCTAATCAGAGCAGAGTAGAGCAGAAGAATTACTTCTCGTGTCTTGCTTACAACACTCCTGCTAATACATCCCAGAATGATGTTCACTTTTCTTGCAACAGCGTTACACTGTTGACTCATATTTAGCTTGTGGTCCACTACGACCCCCAGATCCCTTTCTGCAGTACTCCTTCCTAGGCAGTCATTTTGAGTGTGTGTAACTGATGAGGGAGGAACAAATGGAGTACTTTGCCTGCCCGCATGCCATGGCCCCACACCACTCCCAGAAGCGGCTGGTCGTTGGCAAGTCTCTGCACACCCCTGGGGAAAGGGGGACAGCATGTCTCCATCTGCTGCCCGCCCTCGCAAGCACTGCCCCCATAACTCCTTGCCAGTGGGAGCTGCAGGGATCGTGCTATTGTCATTAAAGCTAGCCAGATCAAAACTAGTTTAAATATGTTTACACATGCTGTGGTCACACCTCTGAATGCAGTGTAGACATACTGCGTGTCTACTCTTACATCTGGGGGACGGGGAGGACTTGAGGAGACACACTCATGCCAGCTCTGATCAAGTTACCATGCTAAAAACAGCACAGCTACAGTGGCACAACTAGCTAGCCATCCAAGTAAATGCCAATGGTCTCAGATGGGTAAATACTCAGGGTGGTTAACCCATCCTGCAGCCTGTGCTGCTGCAGCTATACTCTATTTTTAGCATGCTACCCCCAAATCAGAGCTCCTCAAGCTGGGAATCACACCGCCAGCTCCAGCTCCAAGCGTAGGTATACCCTTAAGAGTCTCTGATAGGGCTTGACAGTCTTTCATACAACTACAGAACTGAAAAAAACATATTTGGGGTGGATGTGACAGCATCATATTGTAATATTATATTGCTACATGATGATGAGTAACATCATGCTACATGAAATAATGGCACAACTTTGTCATGGAGGACTTAGGCCTGCACTGGCAGTAGCACCAATTGCTGTTCAAAGAAAGAAAAGTCCAATGTTATTAAGACTTATAGGATGGCTGAATCCAACATTGAAGAAAATTACTTGAAAATAGTTTCGGCTTCATTGCTCAGAGCATACATTAAATGCACTATCTATGCTGAGCTTTGCTGCAGTTTTACAGTTAGCGAAATGCTGCTTTCAATCAGGCTAATGAAACTGGAAATCTTACAGAAGATGAAATTTCAGCATTTTCTTTGTTCAGTGGTTCTAATTTTCCGTCCAGGCCTCCTCAGGCTGTGATCTCATAAACTAAGCTGATTTGAGGGCCTGTTAAATAGTTGGATAGGAGATCTTTTAAGAAAACCTAGGTGTTGCAGGAGGTGGTGTTAATGATAGTACACTTTTCTTTGGGCTGGTACAGTACCAATTGCCCAGAATGGGGTAACAAAATACCTTGCCAGTGGAGGTGACCTCTTTTGAATGGGATGTTAAATCAAGATCCTAACTATCCTTGATTGTTCAAAAGCTTATGGTATTTTCCACAAGAGGAAGAACTATTAGCCTCAATTATTATTTATCTGTATTGCAGTAGAATTTATTAATCTCTCTCAAGTAGCAAGGCCCTATTATACTAAGACACAGTAAAATGACATAAGCTGTTCTAAACAGTTCAGTCCTTAGTGTTCAATTTGCATTACACTTGGGGAATTAGAGGGTGGATTTTAGCTAGACAAAATTAAGTTTCAGATAAATAAGGTATTCTTCACTTTCGGTCCTAAACTATTGTTTTCACCAGTGGTTTCTGTTGTTTTTAAATCTTCTGAATCATTTCAGGATTTTATTTCAACCATGGGACCACCCTTGGAAGTTAATGGCTCAGCTCACAAATCTGTTCATACTCTTGATCTAGTGTGTAGACAGGAGGTTTAGCACTTAGAAACTTTGCCTTTGTCATGGATCAATCAGTGTCCTTGAGGTTGGGATGCACCTACCTTGTCAGGCTTTGGGATATGTTTTGATGGTCCACCCTTTAAGGGTCTTGAGACGAATGGTGTTATCAATCCATCTAATTATCACCTGGTATCTAATCTTCCATTTGTGACTAAGGTTATAGAGAAAGTTGTAGTGAGAACCTCAGAACTGCTAGATCTTTGTCAATCTGGATTAAGATCTAGGTACACCACAGAAACAGCACTGGTGGCGTGGACAGATGGTCTCCTGATGGATAAAGTTTGGGAATCCATGCTGATATTGCTATTTCAATCAGCTGACTCTGATGCAGTTGATCGTGTGGTTTTTGACTCATCTGAGAACAGTAGCAGGCATCAACAAGACTGTTTTTGAGTTGCTCCATTCCTTCCTTTATTAATGTTCCCAGGGGGTCCTTTTGAATAACTGCTAATCAGCCTAATAGCATTCACAAAAGAAGTTCCACCAGACTGTATTTTGTTCAGGTGTATATAAGGGCTTTGAAAGGATTAGCAGGAAAGTCTAGGTTCTGATGTTTAGCATGCTGCTGACTCCTAGCTCTATCTTTCTTTCATCCAACTGAGCTCAAAAACAAAAGAAGAACTAGAGCTCTAAGGGCTTAGTTCATTTTGCCAGGTCAACTCAAGCTGTAGGTCCCCTTGTGGAATTAGAAAGTCCACTTGGAATGAGGTCCAATGGCACCCATAATACCTACTCTGCCCAGGCACAGAGCTGGTCTGCTGGGAACGATGCTGATTCTACACCTCTCCCAAGCAGCTACTGTTGACAGATTCCTGTGAAGCCCAATCTGAATTCCCCATCCTTCCCACTTACATCATGCTATTTTAGAGGGTGCAAATTTGCTTCCATCAGTGAATTTGATTCTGAGAATAGGTCACCTCTCAGAGAAGGTATGAAGGCAGGAAGCTAGAGATTCCTTGCAGAACAGTTTAAAAACTTTCTAGCCGGGTTGTTAGATGGAGGTCTGATTATATTAGTATTGCCTAATTGACTCACGGGGGGAAAAGCCTACTAATGTTAGCAATAGAACTGCCCTGTTTGTAAACCTTTAATAGTCAAGAACCAATTCTTAACAGCTGCGGTAGGGATTAGGAGTTGGATGTTTTCCAAATTAGAAGGTGGTATATACAGTATCTGAATTAGTCCATCCCTCATGAAGCAGTGTAAAGAATTTTCCAGAGCTAAAATGCACCTGTGGGACTAAGATTTTAAATGTAACATACTGTATAAAGAAGGTGAACAGCAAATTAATGGCAGTGAAGCATTTTTTTTTTTAAAATAACTGAAACAGCCTTTTTACCTGAAAAGGCAGCTAGTCATGATTACAGTGGCTCTGGATTTGCACTCTGAAAAACAGGAATTGGAAACAGACAGCTGTGACAGGCTTCTTTCCCACTTCTTGACTGAAAACAGTTGATTCTGTTATTGTTCAACTGGTTTTATACCTTAGTTTTTAATCAAATCCTGACCACTTCAGGAGATGTTAAATCCAAAGTTTTGATTTAGCAGTTATAGATGACAATTTCAACCAACCCTATTTTCTGCAAGGTACTGGGAGACCCTCAGAGGGTTGAGGTCATTAGTGATCTTTTTGTCTTGGAAGAGGCACAAGATCCCATGTCAGTTTCTGGATGGTGATGAAAGTATGGATCTATATTGCAGCAGACATTTGAGCTAAATTATGCCTCTGAACAGCTGAGGAGTTACTGCAAACTCAGCTAATATACTATTGCTATCCTTTAGGAATTCTTGAATTGTAGGATTATCACCATTCCAATCTAGATGTAGGTCCAGCATGACTTGCATTGTTTGTGTGAAGTTCTTTCCATTCTTTTACTCTCTGAACAATTATACTACCATAAATAGCTGTTACATATATGCAGGTTAGGGGTACTAATGATACCACATTGTTATTCTCTGATACTAGCCTTCTCTTTTATTAGTTATACAAATAATAATATGCTAATCTGATAGAGATTTGAATTTCAGTAACTGATACTTCAAAGGTTGCCCTTAGAATTTTCTTCTTCTTCTACCCCTCCCACCAATATTTGTACAAATAACTGCCTTTGTATCATTAATTTTTGAAGCTGGTGTGGTTTATGGTCATGATCACACATAGGGACTTACCTTCCACTCTGCCTGTCAGCTCCATTCTTGTGACCAGATAGGGTACTAATTACCAAGGAAACCAGCACCTAAATTAAGTAGTGAGGTAGATATTGAAATATCACCCTACTCTTGGATGCACGCATCTACAAGATGTTACATCTAATTTTAGGCCTAGCAGTCTTGATATCTTTTTGTTATTTTTGGATAACATTTTACTGATGTTTTAATATAGTTACAGAAATAAACTACTACAGGCCACGTCAAAAATTCAGTAACTATCATGTATCAGAAATTAAGGTGATGAGGACTGACATGTTTGTTTTCCCCTACCTAGCAGAGTGAAAGGAAGAGAAATCTATCAGAGAATAATGATGTCTCATTAGTGCCATTAATCAGGGCTTCTGTAACAGCATTTATGCTAGTATAATTATTAAGGGAGGAAAAGAACCAGACAGGCTGCAATGGAGTTACACCAGGAATGAATTTGACCCCTTATCTTTTTCTATTAGGGAATTAAAACACCAGCATTTTGATTATTCATTCCCAAAGTTTCACCCATTATATTATCAACATTCTTAACTGAAAGGAATCATACTTTGTCTCCTTGACAGCACAAAACAAATTTACTAAAAAAATTCTATAGAGAGAGAGATTACATAAATAAACAAGATACTGAACTCAGTCCAGTACTGAACTTTTTTGGAAGTGCAAGTGTATAGAACAGGGATCGGCAACCTTTGGCACACATCAGGGAAATCCACGTCCGTAGGTTCAGCTGATCGCAGCTTCCACTGGCCGTGGTTTGCCGTTCTAGGCCAATGTGGGTTGCGAGAAGTGGCAACCAGCACATCCCTCGGCCTGCGCCGCTTCCTGTAGCCCCTATTGGCCTGGAACGGCGAACCGCAGCCAGTGGGAGCTGTGATTGGCTGAACCTGCGGACGCTGCAGGTAAACAAACCGTCCCGGCCCACCAGCGGATTTCCCTAACGGGCCGCATGCCAAAGGTTGCTGATCCCTGATACAGAAGGAGAGCAGTAAAGAAGAAGAAAGCACGCCAGTTGTAAAACCCAGGAGTATGTTGATTTAACCTTAACTTTTCAAATATTTATAAAATCATAACGTGCGGGTAGAGTTTTAAAATGAGGAAAGCATGTTTCTCAATTATCCTGGGATGTTAGGAGTTTCAGCTATTCAAAAGGCAAGGCGTTAAGATTTTGATATGTTATTGGCTGTCAGACAATATCAATTTTATTTTCAACTGGAAAATGTAATGTAAGATTTATGCCCTGACTTGTAAAGACTTACGTGTACTTAATTTTACATGTTGTGAAGAGTCATTTTTAACTCAAATGGCACTTCTCACAGGTCCTGATTAAAAAAAAAAACAAAAAAACACAACACTTAAGCACACGCTTAAGGCCATCTTTATTCAACAATGTACTTAAGCAAACTCAGCTAATATACTAGTGCTCTCCTTTAGGAATTCTTGAATTGTAGGATCATTATTCCAATCTAAGTCCTATTGATTGGAGTGCAAGCTCTTCAAGGTAGGGACTGTCTTTTTGTTATATGTTTGTACATGCCTAGCATTATGAGATCTTAGTCCATGACTGGAGCTCCTGCATGCTACCGTAATATAAATAAATATGTCCCATTTGCTTCAATATTATGTGCTTTGCTAAATAGGAATGGGGTTGCTCACATGCTTAAGTGCTTTGCTGAATTGGGGCTAGAGCACATAAAGGAAAGCACGTGTGTAAGTATTTCCTATTGCCCCACCTCACTGAACAAACAAGGATCTACAATAATTTTCACTTTTAAAAGAAAGTTACAGTCAGTACAAACCTAGGATGCCTGTAGACTTACTACACTCCTTGAACCAAAGCTATTAGGCTTAGAGAGCATAATTACGTTGGGTATGTTAGCAGAGCTGGTAAGCTTTGTTAGACTGATCAAAAACTTTTTAAATAAAATAGATTCTGATGGAATTCTGTCATTAAAATTTTCATAGTAACTGCAACATATTGCACCTTATCTGATAAAAAGATCTATTTACTAGGTGCTTTCTAGTACTAATGAATAAAACAATTGTGTAATGCCTGGACAAAGGCATTTTTATATCACTTTTCAAACAAATTAAGACCTTCATACACAGGGGATTGGTCCTGCTTTGAGCAGGGGATTGGACTAGATGATCTCCTGAGGTCCCTTCCAATCCTGATATTCTATGATTCTATGAAAACACTCCCTCCCCTGCAATTTCCAACCACTCAAAAACCACACTGTCCAATTAACCTCAAACTTTGTCTGAGCATTTTACTTACACTAGACATGACAACAAATTTTAGGGAGAAAAACTTTTTTTTGTGAAAATCAAAGACAGGTTCAATATTGAGCTTCTAATGGAAAGTGACTTACAACCTTAACTGTAGAACCACTACTGTGACTTCACGATATTCTTAAAACACACTGCAAGTGCTTTTTTTTTTATTATTGATATTTATCAGGCTTTTTCTGCCAATAAACATCAAAAAGTATGGCAGATTTTGCTAGATTATGCTAAATATCTGTAGGTAAAATATAGTGCCCTTTTCTATATTTAAATTGGACCTTTATTCAAAAGCCTGCCTTCCTCAGAACTTCTAAGCTCAAACTAACATTGAGAGAGATGAACTATTAAAACTTAATCCCAAAAATATACAAAGAGGATTATCCAACCACTCCCCCCAGGGTTTTGATTAAAAAATCTGATAACAAGACTATTCTGACTTAAGTAATTAGTTTATAAATAAATATCTGACATTCTATGAATATCAGCATGTCAGAGAGCATGTTAAATATCACACACCAAATTAATGACTCACACAAGAAAATAATGCCTATATGGGGGTCATACAGTCATATACATTCTCTGCTACTCCTTCCCTTTCAGAAAGTAAATATTTTAGTGACAGGTTCATGTTCAAAATTTACCCTCAATCAGTTAAGGGACAGAACTCTGACAGTACTTTCAACCTGGAAATATAAATGACACACACTTTACACTGTTTTTTTCATTTATTTAGTAATACATATAATCCTAGCAGCTCATACCTATAGCAGATGGCTGTGATGGGATTCCCAGGGTACAACCTGGAACTGTGGGACTGCTGTTTCCCCTTAATTCTCCAGCCTGGGCTGTCTCTCTCAATGTTTTGCCAGTGACAAGCAGCAAACTCCTGCAGGCATTGCTGTCAGCCCCCAGCACACAGAGGCACACCCAGCTAAATTGCATGAATGTTTTCCAAGCCACTCAAGAACTATGCACAGGGAAACACCAGCAAATCTTCCAGCCTCCCACCCCCACCCAGCCTTGCACCCCAGAAATATACCATCTTACACTGCTCAAGACCCTCTCTTAAACAGCACAAGTTTTATTAACTACAGGAAGATTTTAAGTGATAAGTGGTAGGCATAAAGGTCAGAGGTAGTTACTTTAAGAAAATAAAAAATAAACATGCATTCTAAATCCTAAACTTTTAGACTAAGCAGGATTTGAATCATACGGCTTTTCTCACCCCACTGGATATTGCAGGTAGGTGATAGATCTTAATACTCAGGCTAAATCTCCTCAGTTTGAAGTCCTTGTCGTCCCAGCATTCTTGTTGCCTTCAGCGTAGGTGGGGGAGGAGAGAGGTGGACTCATGATACCACTGTCCCTTATTTTATACTCTCAATTTATGAGCCAGAAAAGATACTGGCCCACGCATGCCCTGGTGGGCCTTGCTGAGTCACAGGAGTTGAGCAATCCCCATTGTGCAGTGCCTGCACAACTGTCTCTTACAGAATTGTAAATCTCTTCTTTACAATTCCCCTGCTGGTCAATGGCTTGTGATGGTCGCTTAACACTTGTTTGGGTGTGGGTCACCACCTTTGTTGTCACTGGAGAGCTAGCAGTGGGTGTCTCCCAAACTGAGAACATATTTCAATAACTTCATACACAATAATGATATGCATATTTTGGAGAGAAATGAGTTTCAGGAGATCATGAGCTTTCATATAGTATCTTACATGGCATGCTTTGTATGAAGTATCACAGCCATATACAAATGATGAATATGGCAGTTACAGGATACTACTTTGAAGAATACAGCATGCTCTACCCAAAAATTAGAGTACTTACTCTCTGAGCACTGCATGATTTTAAGAATTTAGAAATAAACTGATTTATGAATTAAAATTAGCCTAAGAAATTTAGCTCCCTGGGTCAGTTTTTTAGTTTTGTCCTGGATAGTTTCAGTATTGGACACGGACTCTTGCAATTTTCCAAATAGCTAAAGATTGCTGAAATCTGATACATAGGCAACATCTGGAGAAAAATAGGAAGAATAATGTTGTTCTTTACAGAAGTCCACAAAAAATTGCCCAGTTTCAGATGGCAGACATCTCAAAGGAATGAGCCAATAAAGCTGCCCTTAGCAAAGATGGCCACTGCTTCCATTCATTACCTCACAGTGCTCCTCTCCATCATCTACTCTGAAAACAATGTGGCTTCACTCCTATTGAGAACAGTGGGAGGTGGCAGCTGTTGGAAAGCTAGCCCATCTTTGTAAGTTTCTCTTGGAAGATTTTCCCTACCAGCCTCTGACAGATAAACTTTCAGCTCTGAAGAATAGCAACAAAAATGGACCATTTTTCCAAAACATTTCTTTTTAAAAAAATTAGAGAGGGCAAGATGGGAAAATTCACAGAAAAGGATTGTGCAGGAGATTCTATATCCACTCAGAAGGGCAAGGAAAACAGGTGTGCGTGATGTAGGGAAAGGAGGGAGGGAAGAACTGATGTGTGTTTGCACATAGGAGAACATGGAAGGCAAGCAGCAGGTAAAACTGAGTGATATGTACTCTCATCCTTAACTTCATCTTCACATAAGTATTTTGTAATTTAAATAAAACAAATTCCCAGACAAAAAAAACTAACTTTATAGAGTTTTTTGGAGACACTCCTTGTGTAAGCATACGAGAGGAGTTATGAGAAGGGACTGTGGGAGTAAGAAGGGAGGGGGAATAAGAGAGAGAGCGGAAAGAATCATGATCACAAAGGAAAGGCACATTGAACAAGGATCATAGAACCACAGGGTTAGAAGGGACCACAAGAGTCATCTAGTCTAACCCCCTGCCGAGATGCAGGATTTGTTGTGTCTAAACCAGCCAAGGCAGAGGGTGACCCAGCCTCTTTTTGAAAGCCTCCAGTGAAAAAGCACAACCTCCTGAGGCAGTCTGTTCCATTATCCTACTGTTCTTACAGTTAGGAAGTTTTTCCCTGAGATTTAATCTAAATCTGCTATGCTGTAGTTTGAACCCATTGTCTCTTGTTTTGCCCTGTGGCAAAAGGCAACAATTTTTCTCCATCTTTTTAACGGCAGCTTTTCAAGTATCTAAAGGCCATTATCATATCCCCCTTTAATTGCCTCTTTTCCAAACTAAAGATACTCAGTTCCTTCAGCCTTTGCTCATATGACTTGCATTCCATCCCTTTGATCATCTTTGTCATTCATCTCTGGATCCTTTCCAGTCGTTTTGCATCCTTCTATACATTGGTGACCAAAATTGGATACAGTACTCCAGCTGAGGCCTAACCAGCGCCACATGGAGCCGTACTATCACCTCCATAACTTGCATGCTATGGCTCTGTTAATGCAACCTAAAATTACATTTGCCTTTTTTACAACAGCATCACACTGCTGACTCATGCTGAGGCTGTGATCTACCACGACTCCCAGATACTTCTCAGCAATGCTACTGCCAAACCAGTTTCTCCCCATTCTGTATTTGTTCATTTGGTTTTTCTTCCCTAAGTGTAGAACCTTAAATTTGTCTCTTTAATTTCATTTTGTTGTTTATAGCCCTGTTCTCCAATTTATTAAGATCCTGCTGAATTTTAGTTCTATCCTCCAAAGTATTGGCAACCCCCCTGCTTTCTGTCATCTGCAAACATAATCAGTATGCTCTCTATTCCTACATCCAGATCATTAATGAAGATATGAAACCACACCGGACACAGAACAGATCCCTGTGGAACCCCACTTGAGACCTCCCTCCAATCTGACATCATTCCATCAATAGGTACTTTTTGGTTTTGGTTGTTTAACCAATTATGTATCCACTTAATGAGAGTTCTGTTAAGTCCACATTTCTCTAGCTTACTTATCAGAATGTCCATGTGAGACTGTGTCAAAAGTCAAAATACCTGAAGTCCAGGTCTATTATGTCCACTGTATTACCTCTATCCACCAAATCAGTTACCCATCAACTAAGGGAATCAAGCTGGTTTGGCATGATTTGTTCTTGGTAAATCCATGCTGGCTGCTAGGTAGTCACAAATTGAATGTTTTATACATACCTCTAGAACAGTAGCTCTCAACCTTTCCAGACTACTGTACCCCTTTCAGGAGTCTGATTTGTCTTCCATTTCCCAAGCCTCACCTCACTTAAGAACTACTTGCTTACAAAATCAGACTTAAAAATACAAAAGTATCACAGCACACTATTACTGAAATATTGCTGACTTTTTTATTTTTACCATCCAATTATTTTTATAATTGTAATAGAAATATTGTATTGACATTTCAGTGTTCAGTATACAGAGCAGTATAAACAAGTAATTGTCTGTATGAAATTTGTTTGTATTGACTTTGCTAGTGTTTATGTAACCTATTGTCAAACTAGGCAAATATCTAGGTGAGTTGATGTAGCCTCTGGAAGGCCTATGCCTACCCTCAGGGGTACATACCTCTGGTTGAGAACCACTACCCTAGCAGCTTCCCAGGTACTGAAGATTTCTTCAGCTAATTCCTTCAGTACCGTTGAGTGAATAGCATCTGGCCCTGCTGATTTGAATTCGTTCAAATTGGTCAGAAGATCTCTGATGTGTTCTTTACTTATCCCGATCTGCATTCCTTCCCCTTTGTCGTCTGTGGGGACTTCACAAGTAATCCAGTCACACGTTTTTTGTGCGAAGCCTGAAGCAAAGTAGTCATGGAACAGCTCTGCCTTCCTATCATCTTGTTACCAGTTCACCTTCTCCATTGAGTAACTGACCCAGTTAAGTTGGACTGCTGAGGGAAGCAGGATGAAGGATGGGAGAGAATTCCATAATCCACTCCTCTCAGCTGCCACTTCACAAAGGCAAGAAATGCTCATATGGGAAGGTGAAAGTGTGGAAACCCCATCCTCCTCCACTCCAGATACTATGTGAACTACATTCCTTTGCTCATACTCCTGACTACTGATATCACCTAGGATTCCCCAAATTAAGCCAACTGGAGGAACAAGTGTGCTCAGAGTCTCTGAAAAAATCAGGCCCTAAAAGTTTCTAAGGTTTGGCAGGCAAAATCTGAGAGAACTACAATTACAGGCTGCTTGTGAAAATTTGTCCCTTAACCACCTTCAGTCTCAGTTTATACATCTATAAATTAAGAGAGAAAATTTACCCAGCTCAGAGGGCATAGCTCGTGAATGTTTGTAGAGCTGTTGGGTTTTGTTTGTTTGGTTTTTGGAAGATATGAAGTACTATATTACTTCTACTAGAAGATACCAATAAAATACTATGGAAGTGCTGGAATTAAGGGCAACAGATTTGGGTATTACCATATCTTGACTTGAAACCATTGTCTCATTTTTAGATGAGGATAATACTATAAAGATGGCTATTTGTGAAAATAAATCTCAGATAAACAATCTCAGACTGGTGGGAGAGCTGTAAAAAATTGAAGTGGGTCTGCCTGATTGTTTTTAATGCTAAATGGCTTCAGGCCATCATGGGGCTGATTTCTCTGTCTGCCTTCTTAGAAGGCTCTCTGTTAAGTCTGATTTGTCTAAATCCATTGCTCTGACAGTCCTTGTTTATTTATGAATCTCTTGTAGAGAGAAATAAAATACAGTTAGATGCCCAGGTGATGAAACCCTATATCATTAAATTATTTAACCTTCCCCAAGAATTTGGCAGGGCTGTAATTAACAGTGGCAGGTGAAGGCACACACCCAGTTGGATTTTAGGGTATTGTTTATTAGGTGGCCATCTTGGTCTGGATAAGAACAAGGTGAGCTCCATGTTGTGACAGTTTCTTCTTCCCTTATTTTGGGCAAAAGGTGGGAAAGTGAAAAGAGCAGGAAACAGTTGTTGCTAAGTAACCGGTTTCTATATAAACAAACGAAGGGAGGGGCCAGGGGCTCTTGAGCGCTGGAATCTCTGGGGCTGAGGCGTCTAAAGCTCTCTCTCTCTGTGGTGTGGTACACCTTCCACATTAGTTACTGGCCTGTAGTAGCCGCTCACTGACCGAAGTTGTAATCTTGGTGTTTGTTAGTTATTTTCCTTTGGGAAGCAGACGTGCACTCTTGGACTAGATCCGGTTAGTTAGATCTGACACTCACCCATAGATGACGCAAAGAGGGATAGGGTGGGTCTGAGATAGGGTTACTTACCTGTCTTCGACACCTGTGATCCATCATTGGTGTTCATCACTGATCTCACCAGTCAGGATTCTGTAGCCTTGCCACCAGCAGTACCTGGAGGTAGAAAAACATCTTTGCTTTATTAAGAGAGAGAGCGCGCACAAGAGAGAGAGCTTATATTCCAAATCTCCAGTGTCCTTAATCCATCCTCCTCCCCTTCCTCCTCCTTTAGTAAATAAAGTGGTGTTGTGAGTTCATATCCGTGTGGTGGTTTTTCATTCCAGCTCTGATAGATTGTCTTAAGCGGGGACCCAGCAGGAGGTATACTGTAAGGCTCCCTGAAGTCTTCTGGTCAGATAGGCTCCCTAAAAATCCTTAAGCCACCACGCTGTTTAAGCACAGAGTAGCTTTTCAGGCCACCCTAAAAGCCAGTTTTGAGATCTTGGCCTGTAGATTATTCTTTATTTTGGGAAACTTTGGGCAGAGAGTGTGGAGGCTAAGAAAGACAATACATTTAATGACTACTTTAAAAAAACAAAAACAAAAGATGAGGACAGGAGGAAATATAACTTTACCTTATTTTGCTATACATATTTGTTCTATTGTTTTGGTGCTTGTTTAATTAAACTGATTTTTTTTGTTTCAGAGATTAGCAGTAATCATTTTTCTACTGCATGTAGTCTTAGAAGATACTGCAAATCATTATCCCATAACTTTCCCACTGAGAAGAGATGGATAATAGCATCTATGGACAAGTAGATGTGCTGAAATGTACTCTAGAGCCACTAGTAATGATTGCTGTTGCATCTTTGAGCAGGAACAAGAGTTTAATAAAAGCCAGAAGCAGAATGAAATAGGATGTTAGAGTCCTGCATCTTTTGTATACTCTTTATATTTGACCTTTCACATAAAAACAAAATTAAAAGAACATGAACAGCTTGTCTAAATGACAACTCCCTTAGTACATGAGAAGTGACTATAAGCAATTCCATGGTATCCATCCGATGGAGGAAGAACTGTTTAGGGTAGTTGTGACGGGATCCCCAGGATACAACCTGGAACTGCAGGACCGCTGTGCCCCCTCAACTCTCACAAACCTATGACAAGTAGTAACTCTCGTTGATGGCTGAGAGATCGCAGTACATAAAGATGTGGAGCCATACACGCAGCAAAATTGCATGAATATTCCCTGAGCCACTCATTAATCATACAGAGAGAGGCACCAGCAAATCATCCCAGCTCCTAGCCTTGCATCCTAGATATACACCATCTTATACTGCTCAAGATTCCCTTGGACAGTGCAAGCTAATAAATAAGTTTGCCACTTCTTTGAAGGACAGTGGACATGCACCAGCCTTTGTAATCTGAGCTGAGATTCCCCAAGCACTTCAACGAAAGACACACTGCTTTAAGTAAAATATAAAACAGATGTATTAACTACAGAGAGACAGAGTTTAGGTGACTACAAGTAGCAGGCATAGAGATCAAAGCTGGTTACCTAAGACATAAAAATAGAAACAGTCTAAATTTTAACTTTAATGGGCTAAGCAAGATTTGAATCAAGCAGTCTCTCACCCTGAGATGTTACAGGCAGCTCAGTTCCTCAATACTCAGACTGGAATCCCTCCCAGCCCGGGACCAATCTCTTTAGTTCAAAGTCTTCCAGGCATTCAGATGGGGGAGGAGAGAGGCCAAGTGATGATGTCATTGTCCTCTTTTATACTTTCTTCCAGCTGCTAGAAAGATCCTTGCTGTGATGTGGGGTCAGGTAGTCTTCATTGCATACGTACTCTCTCAGAGAGTGGATTCTTGTTGATGGACCATTAATGTCTATGTGGTCAGTGATAGCTGCTCCTTCATCCCTACTGAAGGGACAGTTGTGAGCATCTCTCAATCTCACAACTTACTTCAGTAACATATATAGCAATACTTCATAATTTTGCATACAATGATAGTACATACAATCCAACAGGATATTAGCGTTCAACAAATCAAGACTTCAGTAATACTTCACAAGCCATACTTTGTACAAAACACATAATCATAGGACAGTGGTGAATATGGAGGTTCCAGGGTGCTACTTTGAGGTACAGAGTGTCACAGTAGTACAAGGGTATGTAGGGATAGGACTAATAAGATGAAATTAAAGATGTCAACTTAAAAAAAATCAGGTTTTGTTTACCTATTGTTGCTACAAGTTAACTTTAAAATGGCCATAACAGAAAGATTAGACGGGGGGAATCTCCATTCTCTTCTCCCTCTCCCCCATTTATATACTCAAGGCATTTGATGGTGCTTTTTCAAATGTCATTTTCACTGTTTTCCCCATGATAGTCAGTTCCCCCCTCTCCCCATTCCCAGAGTTGGCACTCGGCATAAACAGACTGAGCAATTGCTTAGGGCCCCAAGCAGTTCAAGGGGGGCCCTATTCACTTTTTGTTATAAGAACTTGCCTGTTTTAGTATTGGGAGGCAAAAATATACCTGGTTAGGGCCTCCAATGGGCTAGCCCTCGTACTGCCTGTTCCTTGTGTGGGTCTTTAACAGGGGAGAGCAAAATATTTTTTTTAAATGTAGGGAAATGTGATTGTAAAACCACAGAAATTGACCAGGGGACTTGGAGAGATATAGCATTTGCAAATATATTTAACCCATGTTTTTTTTAAACAGACTAGGTTTCAAGTTGGTGGTATCCTTTTTATTTAAAAAAAAGAGTAAATTTATGCTGAATATCAGGGAAATCACCACAAAGATCATTTTTACTGCACTGTTCAATAGTTTCCTGAGGAAGTGGTCAAATTCCCATTACTTGAGGAGGAGATGTTTAAAACTAGATTAGCTAAAGGACTGTAAAATATATTGTAGGGATCTATTCTGCAGTGGCAGGAAGATGGACGAGATGACCTACCAGGTCTTTTCCATCTCGAAATTCTATGAGTCATGAAGTACACAATGGAGACCAATGACTTTTTTATAATAAAACAAGCATTCCTTGACAGCAGCATCTTTAGAAAACTCTGCTTCATTATACTAGGTGATAAGGCTGAGTAATCTGACAAGTCGACTAATGGTTTTGAAATTGCAACAAAATAAAATCAGTGATTCAGATTTAAATACCATTTCACACATATACTTTTAAATAGTATGCTTTATGACATTTACATTTGGACTCTAGTCCAACACAGCCTGTTGTATGCTCGAAGTAATATGAAATAACAAAGTTATACATATAAACTAAGTGTATACAATGTAGATTTAGGTCCAAAATGTGGCTGCAAAGCTTCCAGCCAGGTTGAGGAGGATGCATAGGTGCACTGTCCCAGTGAGAGCTCTAAGAAACATTGTGCTCAAGACAAGGCACAATGTATCCATGAATGAAAGTGTATTGTGGCCCTTTAGAAAGGGTGCAGCATGTACTCCCCACACCTACAAACCAGTGCAGTACTGAGGTGAGCCAGAGCCTCAACCTTACCCCATTCAGCTATCAAGCACCACCACTGGACTTGTGAAGTCCTTGTGCTCGCAGGGTAGATTCTTCCCACTGTAAGCTACACATAACTCCTATGGGCTGCAATGGGAATTAATCTTATTTTGCAAAGAGAAAAGGCTCCTGAGTACAATGACTGGCACTGTGCCCAATCCCTGTACTGGGACGCAAGGGGAGCCCAGGAAGCTCCTTGAACTCTTTCCACGCTTGTATATCTGTACAGGGCAGCACACAATCTGGCCTTTAGACTGAAAGAACTACAAAGGACCTTGTAAATGCTTAGCACTATATAAATGCTAAATAAACTAAGAATGTATCTTTGGCAAGGATATTTTATCTAATGGAACTACAAAAATTGTCTCTGTTCCAGGACATGCCCTTTACAGACTTTGAATACATGAATAACTGAAGAGTAGAATTGTCTTAAAAGTAGTATCAGTTTGCACTAAGCATGATATGAATAGACAGTATCACTGTATATTCATTTAGACATATGAATACTCAATATTTAGGCACATTTTCCTTTGTGCCCATACAATTCCTTATGGTCCTGACTGTAGCAAGGTGAGACTCACCAGCACAGCACCTCCTACTGGTCGTCCTAGGAATTAGCTCTTCCAGCCCAGAGCGCCCTCTGCAGGCCGGTGTCTCACCTGCTGTTGGCCCCTGTGTCCATCCCGGACCCCCTCTATGTCATGGTTCTGCCCCCAGCAGTAACCCACAATCTGGGTCTCCCCACCCAGAGGAACCCCCAGCCCTCTATCCCCACCTTGCCTCAGTGGCTACTGCCAGTCACTATTTAGCCCCCGCTCACTGGGGCAGACTGCAATCTGTAAACCACTCATCAGCAAGGGGGGTTGGACCAGCTGCCTCTGCCTATTCCAAGGCTACACCTCTGCAGCCCCAGTACCTTTCTTGGCCTTTAGCAAGGCCTGCAGCCTGGGGTTTTCCAGGCTGGAGCTCCCCAGCTCCTCTGGCCTTCCCATAGCCCTGCTCCACTCCAGGTATCTTTTTCTCCCAAGCAGCCAGGTCCTTCTCTCTCTCTCTACAGCTAGAGAGAGTGTCTCCTTAGCTGCTGGCTCACAGTCCTTTTATAGGGCCTGCTGTGACCTGATTGGGGCGTGGACCCAGCTGTGGCTGCTTCCCCAATCAGCCTAGCCTTTTCTCTCAGCCCCAGCCCTCTCCAAGGGCTGGCTTTTAACCCCTTCTGAGCCAGAGTGGGGTGCTACGTGACCTACCAGAACATTCAGCATGAGCTTAATTTTAAGCACTGAAGTGGGACTACTCACATGTTTAAGTGCTATGCTGTATCAGAGCCTGGGTGCATTATAACAATGAAAATCACAAATGTTAAGCAAAGTATGCCCAAATAGACTTGAGAAAAGTGGATCCCATAAAACATTCCTAACTCCCAAACAAACTTCATCCCAACACCCAGATTCACTATGGACGCCCTATCTTCATCCATTACCAGAAACTGATCCTAGGTCCAGTTCTTGTACTATATCCAGGCCTAAAACCAAACTGTGTGGGGTGAAACAGATCTGGGGTGAAACTCCACGTTACTGCAGCCCCTGCCAGCTCTTC